TTTTAAAAGACAGGAAAATACAATCTGCCTGAAATCTGACATAGGTTTTTTATGCTGTCTGATATCAATGCATAATTCCTGTTTGCTTCCCTCTCCCCATGGCTGAGAGAGCTTTACAATCAGGCACATGTTCACATATCCCTACAAAGTGTTTTGAGAGAAATTCTTTCTGTTTTGCAGTGTCCCTTGATGGCAGGATTGAAAATAACTTTATTCAAATCAGTAAAAGTCTTAAGATTTTACTGTGAAGGTATAATGAAGTGGATTTCTTCTACTGGCTAAGCCAGGGATCTGTCTCTTCAGGACTTGCCAGGCTCTGAAGACAAAAAGGCATATTAGGAAAAGACATGAAAAATTACTACAGATTGATTGCGGGCTGAGTCCCAAACCTAAAAAAAGAGCTTAAATCCCACTGCAGGATTTGAGGGTTTCAAAAAATTTCAGTGATCAGGGCATGGAGGAGAGATTGAGATTTTCTCTGATTAATTTACTCATTTGAGGGTCTGAATCAGTGGCACAGGGTAGTTGGTGGTGTTGATTGAGATTTTCTCTGATTAATTTACTCATTTGAGGGTCTGAATCAGTGGCACAGGGTAGTTCAGTACTGAGTCCTGTACTGTTTAACTTGTTCATTAATGACTTGAATGAAGTAAGCAAGTTTGCTGACAGTACAGAGCTGGGAGGAGTGGCCAATACCTCAGAGTGCTTTGCAGCCCTTTGGAAGGACCTCAACATGTTGAAGCAATGAGCAGAGAAGAGCTGTCTGAAATTCAACAAAAGCAAATAAAGGGTCCTGCACCTGGGAAGATTAACCCCATGTACCAGTACAGGCTGGAGGCCAATCTGGTGGGAAACAGCTCTGGAGAGAAGGACCTGGGGGTTCTGGTGGACAACAAGGTGTCCATGAGCCAGCAGTGTGCCCTTCCTTGTGGTCTATTTCATGGGTGACTGAGCACTGGAACAGATGGCCTGTAGAGATTGTGGAGCATCCCTCACTGGAGCTATTCATGCCCTCTGGATAAAATCCTGGGCAATGTGCTCTAGGGTGATGCTGCTTGAGCAGGGAGGTTGGACCAGATGGCCCACTGTGGTCCCTTCCAACCTAACTCATTCTATGCTTCTGTGATATATATTGCAAGTTTAAATTAGGAGCCTTAGCTTTCTATATAGAGAAAGAGCACCTTCTGAAGGCAAAAAGCCCAAGATGGGATTAAGTGGAGCTGATGTGGACTAGGAACTGGAACAGACACTAACTAACCCAAGTGTTCAAAATAAATTTGATGGTTAGGTGGGCAAAAAGCTCCTTTCCGTTGTGATATTTATGTGTAATGCCATGAAGTTCAGCCTGGAGAATGTCTAGAAATGTGATCCTTCTGCAGATATTTGCCAGCTTTGGTAGAGCATGCATTGAATTGCTATGCCATTACACATAGCATACAATATGTACAACTTCAAAGGAAAATGACCATCTATTTCTGCAAGCAGGCAAGCTAATAATGTTTTGGTATCTCCATTTCTCTGGGATCTCAAACTAAAATAACTTATTTCCTCTAATAATAAGTTATCCAAGCTGGGGAAGCTGTGTGTAAGGCAGGTTATGTGCAATCTGAGTACACTGTTTTGCAGTTGGAGAATGAAAGACACAGTTACATTTAAGACAAGGGTTTCAAATAAGGGCACTAAAATTTTATGGTTCAGTTTTGGGTGCTCATCTTCACAGAATTCAGTGTCAGATTTTCAGGACTATTGATCATGTCCACTAAAACATAAGTTAAAATTATTCCCTCCAGAAATGCAGTGGCCACGTTATCAGCTGAAATCAGTTTCATCTGAAACTGGAATTGGCCTGTGTAAACCAAGCCCACAGGCTTTTTTTTTTTTTTTTTTTTTGAACTAAGATGCCAAGACAGAGTAATCAAAATCACTGAAAAATCACTCTTAGTGGCAGAACTGTTTTCTCTAGAAATACTAAAGGTAAATGTTTGAACAAGCAATTCCACAGTAAACCAGACTAAGATCTCCTGGATTTCCATCCCTTGTGACTTTATGGAAGTATATTTAATTTACTCTTCAAACAAGAAAACTCTTTCAAGATAGTCTAGGAAATTGAATCTTGCATCCGTGTCTTCCAAATTCAGTCTTTCAATAGTTCTACATTACACTCCAAAGTACCAACATATGTGATAGGTCTCCATTGAAATGAGAGGTTTTAATCTTCTTCACAAAGCAAATGAAAATATTCCCTAGGTTATTCTGTAATGGTAGATAATTTAGAATGAAACCAGATGAGTTCACAAGAGCTGACTCTTAGGGGAGTATACCAGCACCAATTTCAAGACTTGCATGTAGGATGCCAAACTGAAGGAGTCTTAGCTCTTAGTTTCTGAATTATCATTAAAGATGGATGATGAATTTTAAGACCAGAACACCACAAATTATGTAATGGAGTTACCAGCCAAGAGAGGGTTCTATTTTCTCTCTTTTGGAAGAAAAATCATATTGAAAATGTCTCCTTGATAAGCAGTTAGCAAATCAAAAGAGTATTTTTTTTTCTACATGATTTTTTTTACAATTATTACAGTAGAAGGAGTTACAAAATCTCTACTGTGAACGGAGACCTTTTTCAAAAGCATTAAAATTTTCATACAAATTATCTCAAGAGCAAGCCAGTTCCATTAAGAATCACCTCTGAGTTGCAGAATCTCATGACTGATGGAAGATATACACTTTATAATTCTAAAGAGCTAAGGTAAATTTATGCCATTCAGTTATTGTCTATCTAATTCATATTTCATTTATTCTGTCACAGACAGCCTTTCCTTACTACAGATGCAATATATAGATCCAGATTTCTGGCCTCTCAAAAGGAGACTGCAAATGGGATACAGATTCAGCTTTTGGGGAAAACATGCAAAGTGTGAGATACTAAAATAAATTTTTGAACCCTCCTCTAATTCAGAAGTATTGCAATGGAGAACACTCTTTATGAGAAAATGTTTTTAAGGTAATGAGAGACATTAAAGAAGAAACAGAGTTCCCTGTTTTCCCTGCTTCTTTCTTTTTCATTACTTGGGCTGTGAAATAATTTGACAGTTCGGAGTAAATTCCTATGGATTAAAGCAAATTCTGCTTCTGCTTCGCGTATTCTCCAAGGTTAAAAGGATAATAGGACACCATTTTTCACTATCCCATCTGTAGCCCACATCAATAGATGATCTCCTGTTGGGGATGTGTGAGGATCAGTACTAGATGGAAGCTACTTGCATTTTTTTTAATCTTCTGTCAGTAAATATTAAATCTGTGACAATTTCAAATTTAAACATTTAAGAGATAAAAGTTCAACTAAACTAAATCAGAGGCTTCTGTCTAGAAAACTGAATACATGCAGCAGTTATAGAATCAGGCTCTGTTCCCAGAAAAATAGTGACACAGGAAAAGACATGGGTTTAGACCTGAAAAGCAATGTGACAGGAGACTACCAGAACACTCCTACAGGGAAAATAAAATCAAACAGCAAAAATGCTCCATCCCCAGAAATTTAAGAAAGAGTAACAAGTAGGATTAAAGAGGGATTTACTCTGTACACAGGGTAGTGAGAGCCAGTACTAGAATATTGAACCTAGCCAAAGTGTCTACATTTCAAGGAGAGCATTGAAAACATAATTGAAGTGCTAGAGAAAAATGTTATACCATGGGACTTAAGAGGTTTTCCTAAAGGACTGACTAGATTGCAGCATGTAAGTGAGAAGAAAATGCCTGGTAGTAAATAGTTCTTTAATCTAGTGGAGAAAAACATAATGAGTCAGAAAGTATAAACTAAAGCTAGGAGAAAAAAAATCTAATCAAATAGCATATAAGCAGAAGATCTGAGCAGTAAGAAAACCAAGAGCAGTAGTAGATTTTCTCTTCCTTGATGCCTCAAAAGTAAGACTATGTGCCTTCCTGGATGATTCTTTAGCAAAATGTGATTTAGTTAAAAGATAATCTTTAGGGATCCACCCCAGTCCAACTCAATATAAAACTAGAAGAAACAAGGTATATTTTCTTAACTGGAAACTAAACACCCTATGAATACCACAACAACCAGGTCTCAGTCAAAGGTCCTGTTTTGGTAAAAACACAAAACAGTTGTCACATGTTTTATCTCAAAATCCCTGGATGTTTTCTTACCTAGTAATGAAAAATAATAAACCTCTAAAGGGTTAAATAATCTAGACATGTTTCCAGTACCCATATTTAAAGCTTTCTGGTTGTAGCAAACATGATGAAACACAACTGGTTTGAATTTGTTGATTTCAGAGTCTACTGAGCTGCATCCATGGCAATCAAGCAAGCTCATTTGAATGACTGATCCAGCATTGTTTTTAACTTGTGGTTGGGGTAAATCACTGGTATCCAGTACGTGATAATTCTTAACAACATGCCCTCTGTTGAGTAATGGGCATAGATCTGATTGCTCCAAAAACTTTCATTTCACTTCCCATTCTCTATACTTCAGATTCTCATGCTCCAGTGGATCATCAAACCATTTTCTTGAGAGATTTGCAATACTTTCCTTTTTTTGCAAGTGGTTCACCTCTTACATTTAATGTCTCTAACAAGCGGTCATAATTTCTTTCTAGCTTCAGCTTGTATCATGAAGAAAACATAGAGATGTGTAATTTTAAAGCTAAAGGAAACAAACAAACTGAATAAGGAAGATGCTCTAAAATGTTCTCATTTATCACAGTCTAAAGAAAAGTCAGTTATCTGCCAGGGGATGTGGTGTTTTACCCCGAGGACTATTCAGCTATTCCTATTGCAATTTACATGTTCTTTGATCTGATAACTGAGTCAAAACTCATGCATTTGACTTTAAACAAGACTATTGCTGTACTTTTCATGGAAAACACTGGAGTTTTGTAACTGGATTTTCAGCTTGCCTCTACTTGTATGAAACTCTCTTTTTGTATGAAACTCTCTTTTTATAGCAGCATGTTGACTGTTTTCTCTAATCTCAGACAGAACTGGAAGTTCAACCACTCAGCCCACCTTCAAGATATGCCTGTGCTGTTCTAGTGCTCCTGACAAACCAGGCCAACTGGATAATTAATTAAGGATGAGACACGTGGTGATGTGCACCTGGAAATCATTAGACGCCTGGAGGTTACATGTTCATGAGTCCTCCCTTGGAATCTGGACATTATCTGTTGTGTTTGTTTCCTTGGGTATCTGCTGGTAAAGTTCAAAGACAGTGATCTGAGAAGGTGAAAAATAATTCTTTGCTTTTGGCCAGGTGCAATTAGTTGTATTTATTTGTAATAGAAAAAAAAAGTTGACTGGAAATGAAAGTGAATAGAGCAGCCTGGGTCATTGTGTGTGGTTAAATTTATTCTGCAAAATAACTTCTGTGGAAGTTCAAGAAATGCTAATAAAATTGAATTAAGTATTGAGTTTTTTCTTATAGTTCACTCAGAAAATGGAGAGCAAAGGTCTGTATGCCATGATACTTCACACCACCCTCTTTATGGCCTCATAACAGAGACAGAGTTGCTCCCAGGCTGTCAGCTTTTGAACTTTCTTTTCTACTCTTTCTTTTATACACAGCAACCATATATTTTTCCACAATGTAAGAATGCTTAATCTTTGAAATAAGCATTCCTATAAGAAGTTATCTGATTTGATGAAAATTGTAATGGAAAGTTTTTCAGGTCTCAAACTATATTTGTAACCAGAAATAAGGATAAGAATAGCAATTTTAGGATAATATGGCATTCTGGTATACAGAAAAAATGATCATATGTAGTGCAAATGAAATTTTTTTAACTTTTTTTTAGAGAGCAGATATTTTTTTCATTTACTAATAATGTTTTCCTGCTGCACTTAACTAATGAGAATCTGTCTTAGAGATTTCTGAGCTGCATTCCACAGAGCAGGAAATTAGGCAGAAATTTTTAAAGACATTAGTGAATAGTCAGTCATGGAGGTCAACATGGCTCCTCCCCTTCTGCTCTGCTAAAGTCCGGCACAGTTCAATGCACTGAAACATTTTGTTGGATTAACTAATCTGTGTTGGATCTTAAATATATGATTTAGAGCAGCTGAACAAGCTCCTAAACGACAGCTGAACCATGGTAAATCTTGCTTTTAGCCTCTGTCAGATCTGAGATCATTTAGCTTTTCCCACCATGAAATTACTGGTAATACAATACAAACATATGCTTCTATGAAGAAGAGCTTATTTTAGAGACAGATTATAGTAACTTTTTTCCTTTCTTTTTTTGTTAATACTGGTGGTTTAAACAACATTTTTGCCCTTTTTGTCAGAACTGTCTGCAGAGGTCTCCTGTTAGTTTCTGCTACCATCTGCTCTTCTGTTTCAACAGCCCAAAACATCAAATAGACCTTTTTTTTAAGCCATTGCCAATTTCACTGAAATGAGTACATAAAAGGTCAGAACAAAATAACTGAGAAATTTACAAGAGGAAGAGTTGCAAAATTATGGAAAAGTTGTTATGTTTGTTGACAGCATCAAATTAAGGCTCAGATATGCCTTTCCAAGTAGGTGGTGGTCGATCCCATTCCCCCCCTTCAGCTGACACTCTGGGTCTAACTTGACAAGAGTCAACAAAACACATTCCTTGGGTGCAGAGGAAGACCAAAAGATAGGAAGTAACTGAACATATTTGTCCTGGTTTAGGGCAAAACCCAGATTCTTTTGGGCGACACTGGTTCAATATTCACCAAGAAGAATAATATGGCTTTCTATATTTTTAATAAGCCAAGAGAAGAAAGGCACAGAAATGAAAGGCAAAGGCTTTAGTACCAGACACAACTAGATTATCTGGTTTTCTTGATGCTGTTTACTTTTGACCTTCTGGAATAAGGAAGAAATGAGATTGGCATGTGACACTCAGATAAATAAAAATTGTAGCTATAACAATTTACTTGTGTTAATTTTCTTTAAAAGTCTAACTTCATTTTCCTCACTAATAATGTTAGTTATTGTTTAATTTAAAAAGGTTCACCCCCAGGAAGGCACAAATAATTAGAGGTTTACCCAAGGAAGATATTTAAAACCAATATATTCAAAGAGGAAAACTACATGGGAGGTCACTGGAGAGGTCTTAAATTGGGATGCCATCTATCTGTCTGGCATATTAGATTACGTACATGCCATACACTGAGGGAGATTAAGGTTTATGATCTTACAAGGAAATAACTCTATAAGAAAAAAAAGTATGCTATTCAAAGAACCAGAAAATTTAAAATTAAAAAAAAGAAAAATTTAATATTAAAACCAAACTGTGCAGGTAATAATGGGATAAAGAAATAAAAGGCTGATGACAGTGACTTCACTCAGAAAATGAGAATAAAATGTGACAGCTTTTATGGACCTTAAAAGCAAAGATATTGGAGGGAGGGTGGTGAAAAAGACACAATTTCTCATTTTTGGTGGGATTAAAGAGACCAAAAATGCCAACTTCAACCCCCTTCCTATAAGAATTTTACAACCTCTGCTTATTTTTGCAGTGATTTGTATAAGACAAGAATGAAAAAAGGCAAAATGAACTTACTTGTGTGTGTGAAGATCAAGGCCAGTGAAAAGTTGCTGTGCTGGTCAGAAAGCAGTCTTTAATGGCAAGATTTACAGGGATTGTGAAAAAATTTCACCAAAGAAAGCTACTACAGCAGACCCATTGCTTTCCCCATTTAAAACAGGGCTTTCACATGTCCTAGGGAATCCTGTGTAGACAGCAATCCTGCTGGGGCCAAGGTGGCCATGCTGTGCTGGCAGCCCTAATGCACCTTCCCTGTTCCTAGTGTCTGCTAACCTGCTACAGCCCTTTGTGTAGCCCAGTTGGTTTGGGAAAACATTTTGAGTACATTTTCCTTTGTCCTAACTAGTCTGGCTGCTTTTTGTGATCTTCCATTTCATTGCCTAAAAGCAGCTTCATTTTGACAATTGTGATTCATGGATTTCTTTAGTATCCTCATGTTCCATTGTTAATGCATCAAGAGAATATATAGGCTTCCAGCACAGCTGGAAAAGAATACTCCAATACTATTTCTGTCTCTTAACATTCCTTTGACATTGTGAGAAATTATTTCAAGAGCTCTAGGATTCTTATTTCTGTTGCCAACAACCTACAAGACAGTTTAGACTGGAATTGAGAAAGTTATGATTTGTAATCCCACACTATGCCAAAAGAGGTGGGAAACAGCATTCACTGGCACCTGCACAGGGTCCTAAAATTGAAAAGGAAGAGACTGGGTCATTATGTGTAAACCATTTGCATTACAGGCCTCAAGTAGCTGCTTGTGCTTCAGCTTAGGTTTGGAAGAAATAAAAGAATCCCCAGAAAGCTGAATGCTGTTGGAGACAGATTTCCTCTCCTTGCATCTTGAATGGGATGTGTTTAATAATGTGCCTGTTTATTCCACTCAGTGTAAAACCATAAATGTCATCAGGAATGTATCCCCTGCACAACAATGGAGGAAGCAAAAAATGTGCTCCGTGTCACAGTGATGAGTATATTAGAAAATACTGGGATAGAGAGCCTGTTAAATGCAGCCCCAGTCAAAGCAGGGTCACACTGCTTCCTGCCATTCAGGAATATTTAGGCAATTCGAGAAAGACTACTTCTAAGATGATCATTGGTATTGTGTTGGGAGCCAGCCAGCCCAAGCCCAGCAGAAAGGAGCCAAGCCAAGCTGAGTACTGATCACAGCCAAGCCCAGTGGTCTGGAAAGTGAGAGATACAACCTAGTGATCTGGCCTTTTGGGGGTTTATCCATCTTTTTTTCATTGTCTTAGGCCTGGGGTTGGGGAATGCAAACCGTGGAGAGCACTCACCATCTTCACTTTGTCTCAGGAGACCACATCACACTAGCTATGCTGAGCATCTGCTGTCTTGTCCTTGTCTCAGGAATAACTGCACACCACTGCTGAGTTGCAGGAACATTGCCACCTTGTTTTTATCTCAGTGGCCCGGCAGAACTAAGCTGAGGTGATGAACACCTTTTGTGTGTAAAGCACCTTTTCTTTTGCACGCTTTCTGTGGTAGGGGACTTGGGAGGAGCTCCCCCTGACATGCCATGGGAGGAGGCTGTGGCGTAAATTCCCACCTCCCAGGATGTCCATCAAACCTACCACACCCCCGAGTTATATAATCATCTGTTATACCCACCTTTAGTTCTATGTCAATCACCCTTTGTACTTACCCTCTGTTCTAGAAGGTTCTTAAGTTCTCTGAGTGTAATTGGTTCTTCCCCAGTTACCACCCCCTTCCCTCATCCTCATTTGTTGTATCCCTATCACCCCATCCTAACTCCTCCCCCAAACCCTGTTCCCATTGGATCCTTTATATCCTGCCCCTCCTACTCTGCACCTGTTATAAACCCTACCCCGCCCCTTGCTCGGGGCTCTCTAAGCCTGCTCCCTTGCTGAGTGGGTGTGTTACAGATCCGTGCTGACACCCAGCCCTCGACGAATAAAGCAGTTCTGGAGAGACATCCTGCCTTGGTATGAGCTTATTATTACCATCGTAGAGGCTCAGCTGTACTCTTCAGGGCTAGCTTCTACAACTGGCGCACAAGCTTCTACAGCTTTCGTTATTAGTATTGTTGCTGTAGCTGTGTCTTCCTTGTTCTCCATTGCTCTTTGCTTTCAGTAATGTTTTATGTCAATCTATAGTCTCTGCCTTTGTCCCTCTCACCAGAGAGGGGTGGAGGGGGAGGGAGTGTCTTACCTGGGACTTACTTCCCAGCTGGGTTAAAACCACCACAAGATCACTAGCCTGAAGCACATGGAGTGTGTCAAGGATGTTCTTCTGTGCTTTAATGATCCTAGGGTTTATTCTCTTGGCATTTTCTCCTCTGTTTGTATTAGAAGTTTGAAGATAAATTTTAGTAATTTTTATTGGTAGGGTATTGAGTCTTGGCTGCAAAAATGAGGGTCACTATAGCCAGAAGCTGTGAAAGTCAATTTTGACTTAACATCAACCCTGCTGCTTTAGCTCTGGGACTCTGCTGTTCCAGACACACATTTGTAGCAGATTGACTGGAGGGTTGTGAGACAATTACAAGAACACTTAAATACTTGTCCAAAGCTGCCAAACTATCATTACTTTCCATCAAAACCAGAAACCCCAGGTGGGATGCCATGAGCTTGCAGGCAGATGCCTTGTCTCATATATCTCCATGCACAGTATCTACAGTCCTGTACTTTTGTACAAGGCAAAAGCTTGTTAAATACAATGTTGATTTTCTTTTTTTTATTGCTGGAATTACTTATAACACTTACTGACAGTAAAATAAAAAAAAATTCAAGCTTGTGGAGAGGCTAACATTCAATGTTTCTGTGGGTTTTCTCTCTTGACTATACACAGTGATTATCTGGGGGTGTCTTCAAGACAATATTTTGGACAATTACATTAAAAGAAAACTGGC